GGGGGGGAGGGGAGAACAACAAGTCACAACAAGTTGTTTATGCCTTTTTTGTGTTATAGGATTACGCCTTGATGAGGCTCAATTCTAACTTATTTTGAGGAGTTAGTTATAAGTGTGTTCCAAACTGTGCAGACCTTTGCTTTCACTGATGCTTATAAAGTTAACTTGTTCACCACATCGTTAATGTTTGCAGTGGAAATGCGAAGGCTTGTCAGAGCTGGCAAAATGTAGGAAAACACATAATTCTGGATAATGAAATTGAGGCGATGTGCTGCTTAACTATGCGGATAATTCGTGAGTGAATGTGTGTTTTTTGAAGGTAAACTTGAGATATGCTAATTGAGCACACTCTAATTGAAGCCCCATCCCTCTGATTAGTACCACTTGTCATCAGGATCGGTGCTGGCATCTTTTTTGCCTCGCCGTCAACAGAAAAAAATAGGAGATTTCAGAGTACACCGCTTTGGGGGCGCTTTTTTTTAAATAAAATCCGACATTCCAGTTTCATGCAATTATGGCGTTCTCTTTTGGTCTATCTCGAACCAAATTTGTGCAGACATCTTATCATGGGAAAGCTTCTAAATAGGTACATGAGGGAGATGGCAGTTGATTAGAAGCAATGGAATAAGGTATGACCTTCAAAAGAGGCTCCTTTCAGTTTTGTGTCAGTAATCGGCTTGCTTGTTTCTACAACATTGGATATTTATTTATGTCATATTGCAGGCGTTTTGATAATTCTCATTAGCCCTTTAGCTGACTTCGGGCTTCACAGAGGGGAAGGAACATCAAAGTGGGAAAAGTCGAGATTTGGGGGGGGGGGGGGAGAACAGAAGAGTGAACCAAAGATGTAAATAGACAGACGGGCAGATACAAAGGTAGAAAAAAGGTGAGGTGAGTACTGTGAAAGTGGTCGACTATGACATATAGTGGGGCCATTGTAATTTGAGGTCAGAAGTCAAATTCCGGTTTAAAGACTTTTTTGCCGTATGCGTATACGTTGCCCAGGATGCACCACGTGGAGGTTAGTCTATCGCACACCCCCACATCATTGAACGTAGTCAAATGCATCGCGTTTTAATGTTCCAAATTTCAAAATTCAGTTCCTAATTTCCGAAATAAATTACTTCGTAGTACTATTTTAAGGTTAATGGATTGTCGATTGAGTAACCATTCCACTAATTGGGTATGCTTTTGTTGGAATCGAACTCGTGATCTCTGTAGATGAGCAGCAGTTTGATTAATGCGTAAACGATTCACATGTAGCGAATATTGACAGGAGTTAGTAACGGAGAGTCCTATAATTTTAATGGAATATTATAACAACGATAGGTCTTCGCATGAAAATTTTTGCGCTAATTAATTTCGCTTTTAAACTTTTATAAAATTTATAAGTTTTATTTTAAAATTTGATGTATACTTTTTCGTAGTGTCACAATTAGCAAGGAAGGGATAGGATGTGCTGAAAGTCGAACAGTTTCATTCCTCGAGAATTTTTTACCAAGAGACTTAATTTGTCAATCATATTAAACATATTTATTTCATTAAATTCACATTTTTATTTTATACACTTACTTTTTCGTAAGAAAGCTTTATTTCATATTTTTTATACTATAAAAAATGAATTCAACTTTGCCAAAATACCTTCTATGAGACAAATAGTTGTTTTATACCTCATAAACTTTCATTATGTTTCTACTAAATTCCAACTTTTATATTTATTAATGGATACAAATTCAATAATCAGAGTTTCAGTCGGAGGAAGGCCTACAACAACTGAGGATTGGAACGAGCCACCACTCTCGAATTGTCAGAACACCAAAGAAAGCGGTGATTCAATGCGATTTTTCAACGTCGATCTAAATTCCGAAGGAATTCGTTCTGGTATCCTTGCGACCAAGAACGACTTCTCACATTACCCCTCAACAGAATTCAGTGACAGTGCAGATGCGCGACAAAGTATTGGTCACCGAAACAGTACTCCTTCACCCACTAACGTTGCTAATTCGTCATTATTTTCACCTAAGGAATCCGTCATTCAACGCTTTTTCCGACGGTCAAGTACGAGGTAAGCCATTCATTTTAAGCGTTTTTCGCATTATTTGAAGGCGATTCTACTTACAATAAGGTAAGATATATTTAATAAAGAAGCGAAGCGTTAGTCGTTAGTACACTACTGACAACAAAATTTCTGACTTTAAGACGTAGTGGACAATTTTTAGGAGGTGTCGCTTATTGGGATCAAGGGCAACAGTAACTTTGTCTAGCTTCCATTGCTGTAGATATCTGTTAATATCAGATGAGCGACCACAGTTGCTGTGTTAACATTTAAAACTTTCTTCTTCACAAACTCCCTAGCTCACGAAGAAGGTTATTTGCCAAATTGACTTGAGAAGAGGCAAAGTATACGGAAGTTGACTTTGTGTGATACTTCTATTCTACTGCCCTTCTTGCCAACTAATGCGGTTTGCCATCAACATCACTTGTTGCGCACCAATTAGTGCCTCTCTCGTGATTCTTGATTTGACAGACTTCCGCACGCTAAGCACTTGAGAAAAATAAACATTTTGCATTATTGACTGAATTCATGACTCTACGCAGTAGAAACTTCCTTATGGTATTTCTTTGAGTGCTGTTTGCGTGCCAGGAATTTTTCCTGAGTAGCCAATCCCAATTTATGCCAAGTGATGGAATACTGGCTTTCTGGATTGCTAGGACCATCTTTTCAACTGAAAAGTGGCATTTTTTCGCTTAAAGCGAACAATCTTTAGTAATTCCCTTTTGGATGTTGAGTCAGTCGATTAATTTTAGATAGAAAATACTAAAAAAGAAATTATTCATTAATAATTTGTTAAATAAATGACTTGCTCTATCGTATGTCAATTTTGATAATTTCATTATTTCAAATGCTCATTTTTCTCGATAATTGAACAAATGTTCATTTGCTGCTGACTTTCAATTAAACTCATTACAGTAGGAGCCAAGACGGAGTCAGGTTTGAAAGGTGCTTATTTTTAATTAATTAATTCATTTTAAGTTAATGAAATCATACCCTAAACTCCATTATTAATTCTGTGCTATCAATTTGCACACAGTTGCCGGAGATTTCATGGTAAAACAAATTAATTCACATCTGAACATCACTAACAGTCCTGTCATTCCATTAAAACTATATACGGAATAGAATAGAACCAGTTCTCGCACATTAATTTATCGATTTTCAGAGGGCGGTCCGGAAATCAATTCTTCAAAAGACTAGCTGTAAATTCTAATGACACAAAAGAGGAAAATCGACCTCTCCGCCGTCCAACCTCAATTGATTTCCAGTCATTCCGTGGACGATTGAATACTCTAGAAAAAGTAACTCCCCTACCCTGTGATTCAATTCACGATGGCCTAACACTTTCTGCAGGCGAGTTAATATTTTTATCTTGGAATTTTAAATTTATGCCAAAAAATAGTATTAGTAAACAATGGTTAGTTTGATTTCACTTAGTTTTCTCCTTGATTAAATACTGTAGAATTGAACTTAACTCCTGTTGGGCAAATTAGTTGGCCAACTATTCACCTGAAGTGACCAATACTATCTTAGTGGTATTCAGATGGAAGGTGCGTGGTTGAAGTCATACGTGCTCACCATGGGGTAGTTTATTTAGTTGACTTTGAAATGTCAATATACCAAGGGAGCCTTGAGAATATTTGCGTTGTAGATTGTCTTTTGTTTACAAAGTTGTAATGTCAGTATTTCATTGAAATGGGGTTTTAGTCTTTACACAGTCAGATTTGAGGATGACCAAATTAATAGATATTCTAAATCCTGTCGAAAAGTGTTTTTTGGCTAAAAAAATCACCATTTATAATCAGGGATACGGTACACCGAAATATGACTTTTATTCAACAAGATCTCAAAGCACTTCAATGCTTTATTACATAATTACTTCCGCAACCAGCGACTTCAATCACTTTAACCTTCGAGGAAAATGATGTGAGAGTCTATTCTTCCAAAGCAACGGGATTGGTTTCATTTTCTTTATTAACTGTTGTCTTTAATTTTTTTAGGAAACTCTTGATTATGTTTGATTTAACCCTAAAATTAACTAACCATAAACTCTTAACTCACATTTTCCAAGGTGACTTCTCATATTTTCTTACTGGGGAGTGAATAAAGGTTAGGAGGCATCAATTGCAGATAGTAAAAGCCTTGAATCTTTCTTGAAACATTTGTCTTACTGGGATAGGCGAATGAGGGGTGTGGGAATACTGCATCAGAATGCTTCTATTGTGTGATAACAAGGAATGCGTGCGTATTGCAAGTAGTAAAACGAAAAAATTTCAATTGAGTAGAACCGAGTTGCTCTCAGTATAAAAGAGCCAGTCAATTAAAACGATTTGATTAGCGATTTAATGAAAGTAGGATGGTTCCTACATCATATTGATGTTCGATATGGAACTGGTTCAAAATCAGGGTTGGATAGGAATAAATGAGTGAGAGCATTTTAGTTCTAGTAGAATTCTCTGTTTTTATTGATTTTCTACCTCCCAAGTAGACAATGGTAAAACGTGCTAATTTTTATATAGAGCATTATAATTATCATATCTACTCTACATATTTAACCATTATTATTTCCATTTGTATAATATCAGTAACAAGCACGAGGTAATTAGACGAAATGCCATTGAAAATTTTGTGGATATTTTTTGTTTGATTAAGTAGTGCTGTATACAGCACAAAGCAAATGAGTAAAACGACCCTTTATTATAATAGTAAAAGACCAAAGTAACCTTAAAACTGACTCAAATAGACACAGGTCTTTGTTGTTTTAGATCATGAGAAAGGTATGTCCACTTCTGGTAAGTCTAGCGTGGCGGATGAGTCAGTTTTCTCCAATGGAACTCCTGTTCGTCGGCACAAAAAGGGATTCAGCCTCACTGATTTCTCAAGTTTCACACAGTCTCTTAAACTTTCAAAGAACGAAACTTCCAAAAAAAGTAATGGGCAGGATAATCAGAATGGTGAAATTAAAACCACAAAAGCATTTACTTTTGACAGAAAAGATACAACCTCCTTTTACTTCCGATGCTTGAGCACAAATCTATTTCACTGTAAACTTCCTGAAAGTGCTGATAAGCCAGTTGACGGGGAGGAAAGCGTCATGACACTCCAACCAGGAGACAACTATCTTCTAATGGAAACCCCGGTAATAAACCCGTTTTAAGAACTATCTACTATTTGGCTATAAGTAATACTCATAATTTAGATTTTCTGGTTTTAGGATTGTGGATTTCATCTGCCAACTGAAATTAGAATCACCCTCTATAATGACGAGAAGAGCGCTAAATTGAACAAACCATGTTTCATATTTTCAAGCGCCATCATTGCTGAATTTTTCACATCTACTTGGTGCAGCGAGCCATTGTTAGAACGTCTGCTGCCAAGAGTTGAACAGATTGAAGCCCTGCGGTTATCAAAAGTGTATAAACTTCCCATGAATCGTCACCAAGGTAAGTTTCCTAACTTAGTATTTTAATTGTCTGCGTAATTTTATTTAGAGAGGTTCTAAAAGTCCTTTGTTTGCTATTAAGGCCAAAATTATCTGACTTGTCATAATAACTTTGCAATATTATCGATTGTAATGGTTTGACCGTTTTCGAGAAATGACTAAATTTTAATTGAGAATAAAGTGAACCAAATTGCTAAAAAAGTGAATAATCTTTCTACTCCCTAAATAGTACGTGGTTGGCACTGAACAAGAAAGCCTAAGAAATGGGATGGAAAATCGATAAAGCGTGACAAAATTGTTACTAAGGGCAGGAATTTCATTGTAAAAATGGGACACTTTTGAATTTTGCTCCGAACACAATCAATCATTTGAAGCTCTGTCTGTTGTGGGGCAGGAATTGTAATTCGATAACTTCTATTGAGTTTTCAGAAGAGGAAAATTATTTATTTTATGGAGGGTGTGTTTTGTAGGAATTGTATCAGAATCAAAAATTGGTACACCAATGCTGTAACACATCAACTTTAGTTTAAATAGAATTTAAAGAAATTTTTCAAGATGAAATAGGACCATTTGTCATCTGCCAAACAAAATTTTTCCAAGTATTCTCAATCCCCTCCTCCCATTCCATTGCTAGTAGTACGCAATTGCCACCGAATTAAATGGTTATTCGGCACAATAAATCTGCGTTACTCTAATATTCTTTAATCATTGCCACATTTCAGTAAATGATATGGTCAAAATTATCCTTTTAACAAATAACCACAGTCCCTTCAAATATACTTCTTAGTAGAACAGTGCTTGCACTTTCACAACCGCTCATTTATCCTTCCGGCCTGACTGTGAAACAAGAGCACACTTTGAGCACTCTCCAATTCTCCTTCCCCTAATATTTAGCACAGTTTCGATTTGTGCGCGCTCTTTTAAAGATACCAATGTAAACTTTTCAAGTCATTGAATAACATCTCGTAACTAAACGATCCTACGTAAAATACATGGGAATCATTAGGCCCGAAATATCTAGAGCTTTTCTTGAGCATTGGCTAAAAATTATTCGAATACAAAATTTATGGATTTAAGAATTTACAATTGCATATTGTCCCTTTTTATCGAATATCTCAATCCACCATTCATCACTGTTGGATATTCCACGGACCTATTCTTGGGTAATTGGACATTTGCATAAATTATGTTAGTAAAAGTTAACTACTCTGACTCCCTCCCCCCCCCCCCCCCGCCCCCAAGAGCTTTTAACTATAAATACCAACACTCGCTGGTGTATCTTCTTTTATTTGCCTTTTAGGTGCTTCAGCAGTAGTAATGTGTTCCTTGAATCAGCCCGTTTTCTTGACAGTTCGAGTTGGAGATCTCGCTATCGGACATTCCGACAATCGGGTTGTAGATGGAAACGGATTGGGAAGTGATTATGGCGGTGATTTTCACATTCATCTCCGAAAAACACCCACAGATCAAAATACTCATTCAGACCCAGTGTGGAATCAGCGGTATACAGTTGATCCACTGGAAAATGAGGATAAAAATGAAAAGATAGAATCGTGGAGTGATCTAGGTGAACTTATTCTGGCTCCAGGAGAGAAACCTCAAAAATCCTCCAATCAGTATCTTCCAGGTACCCGACTTTGTCCTCCTCAAAGCTACCTCCTTCGGCCTAAACTTGACGAACAGGTGTGCCCAGTTATCTAATAACTTTAATAATACACTAAATAATACATTTACGACAACGTTCTGTCTAACTAAACGTGTACATTTGTAAGGAATTCAGTGGTCACGTCCATCAGTGTAAAACAAAAACATTTCAACAGTTAATAAATGAGTAAGAACTATAACGGGAAATTTTTAATAAACATTTGATAACTAATAGATAACTATTTTGAAGGACACTTACGAAATATGCATTGTGTGTGTGCATTTAATTTCGCCACTATTTTTTTTTGAATTTTCTTAAATTCCATAAGTCTTTCTCACATTCATAATAAATAATTTTCTTAAATATGCAAAGTTTATTAAAATGTGAACTAGGCGAGATTTGAGAAAATACTCAATGACACTTCAATTAATTTTGTTCAGTATTAAACAGAGATGCATTCCATACACTCTGCGTATTAATTAAGTATTGCATTATTAATTTTTTTTAATTTTAGAATTTTGTAACTTATCTGTTAGGACATTATTTGTTAAATATACATTATAGAAGAAATAGGGTATTATGTTACTTTAAACGTTTATGAATGGATTAATGCTATTTCTGGCATAGTATGCCCCAAGAGTGGGTGAATAATTCTTAGAGCAGAATATTATGGCAATGTACTATCGTGACAAAAGAACAGTATTTTTGTTGAAATACAAAGTCATTATTACGCAAATCTTGCAAGTGCGATGGAAGGCGTCAGAGCTTGCTTCCAATTCCACCTTTGTTAGGCGCCATATTTCGGGCACTTAAAGGAATTGAGTTATTTAGTGGAATTATAAATTCAGTGATCATGCTTTTGATTACTTGTGTAATATTGCTGTGTTATCTCCAATCTAAATTAATCCTCCATGTTTCATAGAAGTTAGCTATTAACGAGGTTAAAAACGATGAGAATTGTTCGTGAGATCAAATTATTTTAAACACTGGGAAAAGTTGATCACATTGCATATTTAATACGAAATATAGATTATAAGCTTCCGTATTGTAGATAGGAATAACGACAAAAGTTCTAAATAAGTTGGTAATCGAACTAAGTAAGCTAGTATTCCTCTGTGGATGGAAAATCCTTACAGAAATGCTAGGTCCTTATTGATTTTTTTTTCATTTTCTTCGTCTTCTGTTTGAATTTAGATTTCGGTGATCTTGCCCACAGGTCGACCTTATCCAATTCATCTACAGCCTGTTGGAGTCTTGATCTTCAATGCCAAAGTTTCAGCATTTCGCAAAAAGAGGTGAGCTTTAGAATTGGCTATTCTTTGTCCTTAAATCAATTCCAGCACATTAGAGCATGGAGATTAAAGTACTCTTCACCAATTACCGAGGGCGGATCATTGAGCGCTGTCTTATTATAGATCATTCTCAAAGCAATTTTTCTCAATAATCATAATTTAGGCAACAAATCTGTTTCAGTCAATTTGAAGCATCATTAGAGCTATTTGTTTTTCATTAATACATAACTTTTTCTCCACCTAATGTCATTTTTTGAGAAATTATCATCTTCTGGCAATAATATTATTTCAATTATCTATTCACAAAAAAGTAATCTTGTCATTGTTGACAGTTATTAGGGTTAGATTGACCGAGTTGACTGGAAACAGTCTGACACCTTGATTTTCAAATAAAAATTGGCCTAAAATCCCAACGCCAAATGCAATGAGAACTAATTTTTATTTAGACTTCCATTTTCACCTTGTCTTTAATTGGTTTGTTTTTTTTTCAATTTAGTTAACTAAAATTTGCCTCTCGTCGAGTCACTAGTCATTAGCACTTTTGATATGCAAATTTATTCATATCAAATGGCGGGCGTTTTGATAGTTATAGTTAGCCCTTTAGTTGACTTCAGGCTTCACAGAGGAGGAGGAACATCAAAGTGACAAAAAGTCGAGAGGGGGGGAGGAACAGAAGAGTGTTTCAAAGATGTAAAAGAGACGGAAACAAAGGTGGAAAAAAGGTGAGGTGAGTACTGTGGAAGTGATCGACTATGGCATACAGTGGGGTCATGGTAGTTTAAAGCCAGAGGTCAACTGCCGGTAAATAGACTTTGTGCCGTATGAGTATACGATCCCCAGGACGCACCATGTGGAGGTAAGTCTATCTCACTCCCCTTTTGGTGTGTAAATTAAAGTGCTCTATTTAAGATTAGAAGGGGCATCTTAAGTGAACTGCAGACTGCATCCCCCGTAAAAGCCCAATCAATTTCCTGGATTTTATTTGAATTTCTGGGAATTAAGCCCTTTATTGCTGGGACCACAACTGTCACCCAGGCCAAAAGTTCACTCATTTTGTTAGTTTCTCAAGTGGACTAGTTATTTTGAGAATGCAGTATTATCAATTTTTTTCAATTTCTTTTTACTTGACCAAAACAGCTGTCGTCCATTTGAAAGAAATTGATTTTTTTCCCACTTTATTATTGTGTGTATCAACTTATGGCTTGTCAAATAAATATTCGCCATTGTTTTGTTTGACTTAAATAGTCACTCGAAGCAAAAGCACGTTTTGATGGAATTCGTAAAAAAACCCCTTTATGTTGTTCTTCAAACATCTTTGCGTCGGTTTTAATGAAATGCAAATACAAAAAAATGTTAACTCAAACGATGAGGGTTTTTATCGCTTAGTGTCACGTCACTAGGTGTGAGATACAGTTAAATAAGAATCATTTCCATTTATCCCATATGAAACTTTTAGTGCAACCTCATTGGCTCCTTTTAGTCCAACCTCATTAACTCCTTTTAGTCCAACCTCATTGGCTCCTTTTAGATATATTGAATCTATTCGATTTTGTGAAATAGTTAGTGTTCCCTCTGGGACACTAACACTTAATTCAAATTTTTAAACAGTTTTCAATTCCTTCATGTCTAGGTTTTTTTTCCTAATGTATTTTTCTCTGCTTATCTCATGGGATTCACTGTTTGGAATTATTTCAAATTTGTGATTTTACTTGCTTCCTGAAATGGACATTCTCATCTTCTTTATTATCGTTGGGCATGAAGTGAATATATATCCATCTGTCCATTTACCTGCTTTATTTCAATGGCATTGGAAATTTTGCAAACTCGTTTGGTCTGTGGTGGTTGCTTTCTTTACACCATATATGAAATCAGCTGCTTTAACTAACTTACCATGTTTTAAGGAAATATGACCAAATACTAAGTTAGTGTAGAATAACTTTTCTCAGTTCATCAGAGAATATTATTTGGAAAATAGCTTCTCTATAAGTAGTAACTTTAACTCGGAATTTGCTTTAAATGAATGAGTAAATTACTGTCGCCTACGGTTACTTCAATACTTGTGGCCTTTCTAAAGAGATAAATCCACTTGAAAAAAATCAAGGTCTATTTATAGCAAGTTCAAAGTGAGTAATATTTCATAATCAAGAAATATTGTTAAATTCTTAAGAAATTACGCGTGCAGTGATCGGAGGGCATGCGTGTCAAATTAATAACTGATAAAATCCACTTAGAGATTCGTAACAAAAAATTATGAATCCAATTTTAATGTTTTGATATAGCTTTTTCTCAGAATATAAAATATGGTTGAGCAAGTCATTATTGAAGGCCAAACTTGGAGCAAAAGTACATCGAAAGTGAGTTCGGTTTGCAGTGAGAAATTTTTGCTTTGCCTTCGGAGCTTCTATTCATTGTGAATTAATTCACACTGAACTTGCACCCACTTCTGTGTGTTTGCTTCTGAGAACAATAAACCTGCACTGAAATGTAGATTCGTGTGATTTTAGTTTTACTTTTGATTCACCAGAAAGTGCTCCTCAATTATCCTATGTTCCTATGTGTTCGCCGAGTCGAAGTCTCTACATTTAGCTAGCGACTGGAGGCTTATTCAGGCTCATTTTATATAATGCGACACTGTATGGAAGAAGTTGGTTTTGTTTATACTGGCTAGATATACCGTAATTTCTCCAATAATTTAAGCATATGTTCAGGAACATGCATGCATTTTTTCAAGTCAAAACCACACACATCTTGAAAGCCCGATTTTAGTTTGTAGCTGATTGCTGCACGAATAAGACTTGACACCTCTTCAGTAGTCTCTATGGCAAAATATCCTAATTTGTATATAGCCTCTCGAAGTAAATTAAGCTCCCTCATTGACACAGAAGATGCAAACGTACAGGGGGGGCGGGTCGGGGGACAGCGTTCAGCGTATTTGCGCCCCTCAACAAACATGTCGCGTATTGGAGTACATTTAATGCAAAATTGAATGAAAATTGACAGCTGATTAGCTGGGTGAAGTTCTCTACACGCACCAGAATGTTCGGATGTGCAATTTAATTGCTTTAGGATTTGCGTACTCCAGAAGGTCGTGATTGGTGTGTAAAGCTGGTATTTTCAATACTTTCTAAGAAATTTTTTTTTAGATATATATATATATATATATATATATATATATATATTACGGTTATCAGTTTTGTCTAGATTGCATAATTGGAGAAATTTATCTTATTAGTTTAAGTGCAAGTATAATCGATGAAAAAGTCAGATTGCATGTTTTTGGGAATTAAAGATGCAGTTATTGTTTGAGATGATTTACCAGCTAATCCCTTCGTGGTCCACAATACCTCATTCCTTCATGCTAATTATTTAATTGAGGGCAAATTATGTGCCTGGTATGGTCACAGAACGAACCCCTGTTTGTATCCGGAATTATGGAGTGACTTGTGTCTAAGGCGAAACAAATATTGAAACATTTTACTGCCTTCTGCTAAATCATTAAAAATATTCTCAATATATCATGCTTACTTTTTTGTATACTACTCAAAGTGAATATATATTGGTAAATTTTTTGGTGAAAATAGATATTTTAGTCAACCATCATCCGTCAATGATTATGTTTGGTAAACGCCCGTCCGTATGATTTGCAATCATGCTAGTTCACTGCAAATCACATATCTAATCTTCTCTGTTTGTCAGCCTCTTAGTTCAACTTCGAATCGGAATTCGTGACATCACTTGTCCAGTTCTCGGTTCTGTAAACGAAAATGACAAATACTCCCACCACAATCCCTTTTACTACCAAGAACGAATAGCCTTTCGATTGTCCTCCCCCAAACTAGAGCTCAAGCCTTTCCCAGACTCACAGCCCTCAGGATCTCAAAGTCGAAACTCCTCTTCCTCCACCCTACAATCTCAAATATCCGCCACATCATCATCGAGAGGAAATGCCAATATCCGACTTCCTCTACCGCCAAGCACTCAACGGTCAATCAGTGTTGTTGAATTCGCTCCTCCATCGCCAGGTATGCTTGCTGCGGCCGCACCCATTTTGAGTAAATCTAATGTTGCAGAAAATGCGTCACAAAATCACAAGGAAGTCGGTCACTCCTTTTTCTTCTCGAAGGATGAGGATAGTGTGTCAACAGGGTCTGGAGATAAGGAATCCTCGGTAGACTCGTCACCTGAGGACCCCATTCAATTTTTGGAATCTCCTGATTTTGAGGGAGTATGTATATACTTTCTACCTCTACTTAATTCCCTAATCGGCTTGTTTTAACTTAGTTGTATCATTGAGGAAACTATGAAGTCACATTAAGTCTACTGGTTTCTTCATTGGTTTATATATAGTAACCGGAAATTTCGTTCAAATTTAAATTCATTTTGGAAGTAATTTGGTTTTGAGAACAATCTGCGCCAATCGTTCTCTCACTAATATCGATGAGTCATTGCCAGTTCATTAGAGCAATAAAAATGGACTTTTTAGCTAATCCCTGCCTTGGTGGATATTTGTTAATTAAAGTAATGCCATTTATGAAAATTTGGGATAAGTAGCCTTTTGTCTTTTTTATATTTCAGCAGATGAGATTAAGTGAAATTAAATTACTTTTCTCCATAAACTATGCATTTTGTGAGAAATTTCAATTTCAATAGTTTCTAATGCGCTTTTTTTCTTTTGGAGTTTCTTGGCCTACATTCTCAGAAATAGGCTATTCTAATAAGCTGCTTTCAAAATTTTCCATCTATTCTTTTGATATTCCTCTCACGAAAGTGTTATAGGTTGGATTGGTCAAGTTAAAACAGGGGAATGTTATTTGCCTAATTTTTAAAAGATTTTAGTACTAAAGTATTATTTTGCATCTTGTTCGCTGTGAAATTATGTCTTTTTTATTCTTCTGTTTAACTGCAATAAAATAAAATATCAATGCTCATTATTTTTGCGTGTTTAACTACGTGCTAAACATGGCGGAAATTTTTGTCCTAGTTATGGTCCTATGCGGTCCGTCGAATTGAAGCGTATTGTTCTCATGCGTAATGCTACAATTGACTTAATTTTGCTCCTCGAACAATATTTATGTCTCCTCCTTAACCAGATAGTCATTTTGTCTAGAGGTATCTGCATAATAGTAAGAATAATGGTAAAACGAAGAATGAAATGCTGTCCTTCAGTTTTCTTCTCATGGAAGAAACAGGTCGGTAGAACCAGAAAAATCGCTGAAGATAGTCAGTAAGGAGGATTCTGTTCATAATGATCCATTATACATTCCTATGCTTTTTAGGTTGTGTCCTACAATCGGCCATTGACAGTGGCATGGAGTGTAGAACAAGGTTATTTCAACAAAAGCCTCCGTCCAACATCGAAAGCTGACAGTGTGGGTGTTATGGCTAATTTCTCCTTCCTTGTTGGATCAAAATATGACTCTATTAAACCGCGGGTGCACTACACTTGCAATTTTACGGTGAGTGATTTTATTGAATTATTGTTTATATTTTTTTGGTTACAAAGAGGAACTCGGAAGGCAAGTTCACTTTTTAGAAAAATTGCGTTAAGCATTTTTCTTTGCATTGCCAACTTGATGGGGTCGATGAAATCGCTATGCATGTACCTAAATTACCCACTACTTGCTCAATTTATGCCTTTACTAGGATTTCGAATACAAAGTATAATTTCCAAGATGAATTTTATCTTGAATGAATTTATTTACAGTTTTAAAGATGACATGAAGTGTTATTGGCAGTTTTAGAGTTACTAGTATAGAACAGAGAGATGGCTTGATATCTCACCTATAGGTTGTTAATGGGAATCCAAGGAACCATCACGTCCGTGTGCCAGAACAGCGGCTGGATGAGCTGAAAGATTTTTTGCCTGGTTTCAATGTGTGTAGGTGCCAACCCCATCGATTTAGTTGCACCAATTGAGAATGTAACATATTTCGCGTTATTCGTTGTGGAGATTAGTGATGCTGTCTTTCTCGCCAGAGCAAAAACACTAAAGAATACCTTTTAGAGGTATTTTCGGTTCAAACCGCCACAGTATCTTGAATTGTAATTAGCTAGGGCGCAACAAATCGATATCCATGATCTGTTAATTGAACTCAAAGCAAAGGTTTCATCTTTTTATTAACTACTCATAATTTGTTTTATGATTGTAATGGAGTTAACTTGTGGCAAGAAGCTCAACTCAATTAAAATCGTGCAAACAGATTTGAGAAAGAATATCAGGGTTATAAGTTGATTTTTAATTATTTAAACTATTATTTTAATATTTCAGACGTCGGTAGCATGGACTTATATTCAATAGTTATTTAACGGTAGATAAGATCAGTGGGCAGGCTTTTGTCAATAGCATTGCTTGCGTAAAGTTACGTTAAATCTCATTAGTGGAACTACTTTTGGAAGGTTTATCAAATTCCATTTGGAGTTACCTCCCAAGGTGCTTAAAGGTTATTAAAGTGCTCCAGATTTTTGAGACATCCTGAAGAGGGGGGAGGGGGTCAAGAATATATTGAACCATGGTAAATAATGAGAAAGAAGGTAGTATGAACGATGCGACTTGGAATTTAGACAAGAAAGGAAACAGCGTCAGTTCAATATGGGTGGAATTAACGTTCTTGGACCATTTGTGTACCATATGCAGCCAACAACTAAACATTATTTGACAATGTTAAGAGTACAGGTATCTCATAGAATACCTCATATTCCATCTATATATGCGATCAAGTAAAATCAATATTTTCAATATCATAAATTCCATTTATTCATGCCCATCAAATAGGCCATTCGTGAATAATTTTAAATGAACCCTACCACTTTTCCCTTTTAGAAAAAGCACTAATTGCAAAGAGGTAGTTGACTTGTCTGACTGCCTTTAATCCACTAACCAACCTAACCATTTTGGGGTGGGGTGGGGCTATTTTTTTGTGACCCTGCAAAGATTCAATTCACATTTTTTCAATTACCTTTTTCTTTGTCTTCCTCCTCCCCCTCCCCTCCCCTCCCTCCCTCCCTTTCTTTTAGGTGAGCTACGGAAAATCAACTCAACAAAACGGATTTGGTGGCCTATTTTCTCGCAGTGGGCAGAAGAATAAGTTGACGCTAGTAGTAGATGAGGATGTGTGGCTGTGATTTACTTCTTCTTATTCTTCTTCTTCTTTATTGTTACCTTGAGAGAGAGAGAGATAGTGAGAGAAAAAAACGATGAAAACGAAGATTTGCTATGGTCAATTTGTTGCACTGTTTGACTTTCTTTTTCATTTTGTGGATGGAAGTAAATGAGCTATAGTAATTGATTACAATTCGGCACTGAACTGTGCATAACTGAAGTTAATGAGTAAATATTGACTAGAAAGAATGAATGACCTACAAAGTCGATAGCTCAAAGGATTATGACCTACCCTCATAGGGACGAGATTCAATGACCAATTACCATTGTCTATTCTTGCCGTATCAAGGCTAATTTACCGGCAGAACTTTGGAGAAGAATTACTTTCAACCCGTACGACTCCCTTTCAAAATAAGCTCCATTGGTACTAGACTCGTAATAGAAGGCCCTAATGGCGTTTGAAACATGTTAAATACGTCGATAGCCTTCGCCTGGTACACCACCAAAACTCATCACGTCGGCGGCATCAGTCTACTGCTGTGAGACACGCCTGAGTGCGGTTGGGTGCATTTTTCAAAAAAAAGATAATTCTGACATTAAAGGCTTTTAAGAGATTTTGCTTTGGAAGATTAGAGACTGCATTTTGGTCGATACTTCCTGTTTGGGTGCATTTTGCAAAAAAATAATTCGGGCGTTAAATGGTTAATCATGAAATCACATAAAGTGCTCAATCGATATCAAGGGGGAACAAAAAAGTGATCCATTATCACTCCCTCTGCTTATTTGTATGGCCAGCACCAATAGTAATCCACAGACAATCGGAAGTATTCGATTTACTTTTAAGCCCGGAGATGTTCTTTCAAGACGTAAGGCATTCAGAAGTCGTTGTTGTTCGTTTTGTTTGGATGGCAGCAAACTTCCTTTTCTGCAGAGCACTATTATCATTGAGAGGTTGACTAGGCTATGCCATTGGCGAATAATTCCATTTCACCCTCAGTGACAAATACATTTTCATCTGAATTAACCTCAAAGATTCCGGCATTTTTGGAGTCAAGGGAAGAACAGAATACTACGATTAAAATCAAATATGATTTAGTAAAGTATGCTGTTGCTAGAACTATATTTTACTAACCGAACCGAGACATTCATGATGTCGATATTCTTTTGTTAAAGCAATGACTTTTGAAGATGAAACCACTGCTAATTGTTTAACCATTTTATTCCGGCAGAATTTCGGTACACTTCTCATAATTACTAGTAGAATGTGGAAAGCGCATTGAAGTACAAATTGGGAGTAGGCCTGTCAGTGGTCGCGACATGACGCAGACCAATTTGAGCGTATAGTAAACCACTGAGAAGTTTGTCTCCAAGATATAATCAATTACAGTCCCTTTCTGATTGAGATTTTTACAGCCTTAGAAGTTTCACAAATGATCTAAAATCCCAGAGCTCCATTATGGGACATAAATACCTTAAAAGTTGGCTTTATGCCAAAACTACGCTTGACAGCAATCCACTTAACTCATTTTGACAAATATGAACACTCAATAATAGCAATTTGCCAATTTGAGGTATTTATCCGTCTTGAAACTTGATTATGCCGAACGATGCATGAATTCTATTGGTGGAAATTATGCAAAAAACCTTCCGTTAGGCAGCATATTTCACTATTGCTTTGAGTCTCCGGAAATTCGAGATTTCAAGGCGGAGGTCACGTATGTCCAAATAAATTCGTCCATGCTAATAACTTGAAACGACAAACTAGCACGGAATAGGCTCAGTAGTGCTTCAATGGCCAAGACATCTTGGGGACGTGGTTATGATGAACGATGTATGAGTTCTATAGGAGGAAGCGGTACAAAAATCTACCCATATATTCCTTTAGGCGGTATATATGATTTGTCTGGGTTATGGAAATGATTATTGCTTGATTACGGCTGGCTCGAAGGCAAGTCATGATTAGATAGTATTAGACACGAAAGATTCCGAAGAGTGTGTGAAACTTGTTACTTTTACACTCCCTGAATGCTAGATACAACCTCATGTCATAATTGGGCACCTTAACGGCAGTCACAGAGTGAAACACCTTAGGAGAAACGAGTACAATCAGATATTGAACTGAAATATTGGAATGGTTTGGTGAATTAGTGATAGTAGAAGTGTTATAAACATTAAGTAGCACTCTAACAGAAAGATCATTTTTCCGCTATGCTCTCATATTGAGCAAGCCAACATTTGTTGAAATACCCTAATCTTTTTTGGCTTTTGGTATTGTATAAGTCGTTAGAAATCGTAAATAATTTTTAGCCACCACTCTCATAAACTAATTAGCCTCTCCACCAAATAGCCTACAAAAGCCTAATCCTAATATGGCACGCAATTTTGTTAGTGGTAGGCTTTAATCCAAAATAAAGTAAGACAAACCCGCCCCCCCTCCCTCCCCCGTCATTTAGCGCGTTTATAAAAATATGTAAATTATACGACTAGATAAGCGCTCCCCGCTTCATCTTCTCCAAATATTCCTACGCTTATAGGCTTCTCATTCTGTCTTCCCATGTCAATGAAAAGTTCCATCGTGTACGCTTTTTTCAGTCCACACTTCTTGGAGTATTACCTGCCCTAAGACAACGTCATAATATCCCCTTGTCTGATGATGAATCATAAAGACTAAGATGAGTCCAATTTTCTAACTCCGCTTATACTCCTTCACATATACCCGAAATAATCTACTCGCATGTCCCATATTTTTTAGTGAGACATATTTGCCTATTTAAATTATCGATTTTCCCAAAAGCACAACTTGAGGAGAAACAACGGCATTAATAATCACTTTAACGTATGTTAGGTGGTTCAAGCACCTTATTTCCTAAATACAGGTCCAAAAGAACAAAGAGGAATCATGGAATGTAGAACCTATACGAAAGAGAGTAGATAATAATCCTAGGAACTAGGCGCAAAGACTAGTAATAGAAAGAGAGATAGGAATCAAATCCCCTGATGCCACATAAAATCACATATGATAGAAAGGGAGGAGGGGTTGGGGTGGGGGGGTGGGGGGGGGGGGAGAAGGCAAATTTCAATTTCTCAATCACTGTGAAGAGCAGTTGTAGCGGGAATTTCCCATTTCAATAGCGTGCTGGATGCTCCATATGGCCAGAGGACGCATATGACCTGGCGATCGATAGGATTTACCAAGTTTATAAGCCTCTGGAGTCTGGTACTGCAAGCCCATGTTGTCAACAACCGTGTTGTATATAGCTTTGCAGAGATCAAACCCGTTGATCGGCAATCCCTTTAAAGAAACAAAAGCATTGAGAGCAAAAATAAGCAAGAAGGGGAGAGGGTTTAAGCCACCATTCACCGTCTAAACTAACCTCTAACATGAAGAGAGAAGCCAGACAGTAGTTGGAACCAACCAAGAATTCATCTGACTGGAGACTAGTGGTGATGACTTTTCCATCTTTACGGATTCTATTGATCGCACCCATTTCTCCGTCACCAACCGATCGCCAATTATTGCGAATGATAGAATCAAGTACAAGTTGGATTGCATTTTCTGGGAGAATCTTCGATTTCCAATTGAAATAACAATTTGCTCATTGTTTCAAGTGTCAGATAAAGAGGTGCGAAGTTACAAAAAATATAACCTACAGCGTCTATAGGGGCGCCGCAAGAACGTAGCAACCAGTGACCACACATTTGATCAGCCATAATGATCGGATTCGCCTTGTTATCCCGAATATCACAACGGAAGCAGCAGTCTGGGAGAAAAATAAAAATCTACGAAATGTCAATGAAAAATAAGACAATGAATTGATCCGCTTTCAAAATTTTCAATTCTGAGTTTCACATCTTCCTACGAAGGACCCGTCTCCCAGACCATTACCTGTTTATTCAATCCCCTATCCAATTCCTATAGTGCAAGCACTATTTTGCTATATAAGGCCACATTTTCATCCTCCTATTAGCAGGAGAGAACCACTTGTCCTTTGTCCCACCAAATGCATAAGTACTCTGCTGCTGTCTCAATGTGGAGGTGGTGGAATCTTTCTTTTTGAAAGTCGACAGCAACCTCTAAGTCACTTCCTTCAAGTCTGGTTATCTCAAACTTATAAACGTTTGAGCAACTTGCATACAATAAGTCAAGTAGCCGTGGAAATCGAATGCCATGAACAATATAAGCTCGAAAATCTGTGTAAATGAGAGTATAGATACCTCAACACAGCAAATGCATATATATATATATATATATATATATATATATATATATATTTTACTGCAATTTAACAAACTGAAAAGGAAAACAAAAATATGCATATGAAAGTATAGTAATTTGATAGTGGTGAACCCAGTTATTTGAGATTGTTTTTTTGGCAGCTATATGGGATTAAATTGATGTAAACCCTAAAGCATAAAATAGGAGAAAAAAACGGATTTTCCATCCTTAAGAAACCATTTCATATCAAATTACATCTACGCCACATTGAAAGAATTCAACATTACTCGGCAAATAGCCCAATTTGGGAACTGCTGCTTTGCTTTATTATAAAATCAAATAGAATTAATTAGCGATCTTTTCCAAACACTAATTTCATTGACAAACAATACTGTCTAGCTCAATTTTTAACCCTGAAGTCTTTAGGAATGTGAATTCATTTTATAGAGAAAATCGCGAGTATCTAAACTGATACTATAAGACGAAACGTGACGAGGTTCATTGTTATACACCTATTGTTGCGTTGTCTAGCCAATCACATTCTCCCATGCCCTGTTTTTCATTCAATCTTCTCCGATTAACCACAACTCTGTCAAATTTAATTGTTATACCACAAAAAGATCCTAAATTGAGTCAAGTCTAGCAATTGACTAGTTCAGTCTGTTTCTCCACCCCTCCCCTCCCCCCCCCCCCCCCCCCCCCCCCAACCTCTTCTCTCCTGGAGTCTGAGCAGAATCGTTATAGTAATTAATTAATTAAACACACTGCAAAGTACAACATAGAATCATGGATATGGAGTTTGAGATTGGGAATTTAAAAAATTGGCAACTAATTATTATCCAGAATGCGAAATACAAATCTCAATTAGACTTCAGTTAACCCTTTAACGCCCGAATTATTATTTTTTTTTTGAAAAATGTACCAAACTTCACTCACGCATGTCTCACAGCAGACTGATAAGGGCGACTTGATATATTTTTGTTGTATCAGGCAAAGGCTATAGACGTATGGGGCGCGTTTCAAACGCCAATAGGACTTTCTGTTAAGAGGACCCCGTACAGTCATAAGGGTCTTATTGAATAAAAAATCTAGAGCTATTCATCTCCACCCATCACGTGTTTACTTAGACACACCATTTCCACCCCTATACACCTTGTCATACCTTGGGTTGTCTTCACTTCAACTTCAACACTCCTGACAATAAACCATCACATCTTTATCATGCTATGTCTCCTTTAGTCTGTTGTGTAGATTGCTAGAAATCAGAGCAGCTTGTTTTATTTTTCTCCTACCGTTCCAGAGATTATCGTAGTAATTCTTCTTGGCTTTTGTGAGGACCGCCTCGTACTTTTGCTCCAGCCTTGCAAACGTCGCCAGTGTAGTAAAATCCCTACTCATCCCGACACCGTAAGTAATTATATCCTTGGTGGCGTAGAGAGCGGCAAGCCATATGCCACCAGTGTAGGCGCTAGAGAAAAGGGGAGACAAGAGAGGAGGACTCAATGAAGTACCTCAACTTATTTGCTCAGGCAAAGGAGGGTGGGTGGGGGGGGGAGGGGGAGGATAAAATGATAAAGCTAAAATACCACTAACCTGAGGCCAGTTGCCTTCCAGGTGTCTGAGGTTTGATCAGGAAAGTTGGCGTTTTCGAGTAAACCATCGCCATGCTTGTCCCATTTCTCAACGGACGTTTGCATCATAGCCTAAAATATGACCACAGCTTACTGAAATTTTCCTACAAAAATCCCAGTACAAAGGCTAAGGAATGCCTCGTGAATATAACTATTTCGAGTCTTTCATTGTGATTGCGACAGTTTCTCGAAAACTCCCTTTGTTTATGGGGAGTTTTTTTTCCTTGTTATACCCCACGAAGACGGAACTCAATCACTCTCCACTTCTCTAAATGTGGTCAGAATGAGGTCGGCAACTTAGCGGCCACTGAATAAGGTTTATCTACTTCTGGTTTTATGAATAGTCGTTTATAGCCACGGGCATTCCATTTAGAAATAGAAAGAGCTGATCATGAGCCACAAGATGTGCGCAAAGAAGAGGAAACCAGGTGAAGCGATTCAGGAATTCATAGCAAAAAACTTCGCTTAGGTTTGAAGAGTAAATACAAAAATCTAAGGGCCTACTCGACTACCTCGAGCAAACATTAAAAGTAAAGGCACATCCAAAAAACTTAGCTAAAAAGGAAAACATAGAAATTCTTATTTTAAAACGACGTCTTTGAGCTCCATTATATATATATATATATATATATATATATATTATTGGCTAGGCAGACAAAAGAACTATCAACGAAATTTTTGGAGTCCAATTAACTCCAATTCTGTCTATTCAGGAGTTAGAAAACGTACAGTGATGGAAAAAATCAAAGAAAGGGGTTTCCAATAAAGATTTATGCGCACACTCCAGTTTCCGCTTTTCCTATCAATTTTATAATGCAAAGTGAGATCTGCAAAAAGGTGGCGATACACGAGTATTGATAGGGTATCACAGCAACACCAATGGTTAGCTGTTCGACACGATTCTGAAAATCATCAATTCGAAATTTTTAATGTCGAAGGAAGAAAAATTGTGTTGCAAATAGCAGACAGTAAGATTTCAACCAACAGACCTAAACGTCAGCTGTTGAGAGACTCATCTTTTGACAACAATAAGTACCTAAAATTGAGGGATGAGACCGCAGTGGGCATAGAAATTGCATGAGCACTCAGAGAGTCTCGAAGGTGCGGCCGTAGGAAGCAAGTGTGGTCATGAGCGAGGAGACTTCTCAGCCAACAACCAATCAATAGTGGCTGCATTGTCTAACAAACGCGTAATTGTGTATTTTAATGACTAAGTTTTACGTCAATGACACTCAACCAAGACAAACGCCATTCACACCATACGCCCTGTTTCCCTGATAGCGTTTAGGCAGCTTAGCTAATTTCGGGGGCGGACTTGATGGGTACCCATGTCAATAAAACAGTAACGTGTGAAATTTAAGTCAACTCTTGGAGGATAGTGTCATAATTTAGACTTCGCGTATGAGTCAACTTACCAATACAAGAGGAAGCATATAGAAGAGATAATCATCATTATTAGTGATCTTCCAATCTCGCCAAACCATGAGAATGAATTTGCTGTTGAGATCGTTCCGCTCGTCGGTGGCTCGAAGATCATAGGCATTTACACTGTAGAAAGGCTCAGCTTCAGGGTTTCCAGCATCATGAGGGACAGAGAGGAAGAGGTTGGTCACGCGCTTCTTGTCATTCACACCTTTGAAGATAACTTGCATAGGCTGACGGTCCACGCTAGCTGCGATGTCTGCCAAATCGTAGTTCATCGACAGTTGGAGTTTAGGCCAAAGCTTGAGTAATGCCCAAGAAGCGTTGAAGTGAACATCGTAGGTATTGTACATTCTGTATTCATGCCCTAGTAGTAGACACATTTGGGAGGGTTATTTACTAATTTTCGGGGTGTCCGATAGACTTACCTCCACGTGGTGCACCCTGG